CTTGGATACAGTCACTGCTGCCAGGGCATAAGGAGCTCTGGTGGCACAGTGGTTAAAGTGCTTAGCTCCTAATCAAAAGGTCAGTGGTTTGAATCCACCAGCCACTCTGTGGAAGAAAGATGTGGCAGTCTGCTCTGTAAAGATTTACAGCCTTGGAACCCTGTGAGGCAGTTATTCTCTGCCTGCAGGGTGACTGTGAGTCAGAATTGACTTGACAGCAGTGGGGATTTAGCTTTAACTCCTTTGTTGGACCTTCTTTATCAATTTAGAGATTTCCCATTTGGAAAATATGGTGCAAGGAGCTTGAACTTGGTTGTCAGACAGGTTCAGATCCAGGCTCTGGTACTTTTTACATATGTTACCTTCTGTCAGTTACATAAGCTCTCTGGGCCACTGTTCCCTTATCTATAAAATGAAATGATGATAGTATGTTTGGTAGTTCAATTTGTATGTCAACTTGGCTGGGTCCAGTTGGGTGGCTGGGCAGCTGGTGATAGTTATTCCCCATGATGAGACTGACAATCAGCTCCATGGTGGGATCTACCACAAGCAGCTGAGTAGCTGCCTTTGGGATGTGGTCTGTTTCCTGTATATAAGAAGCAGCTTTGGGAATAGTCTCTGGCTTATGGCACACTTGGACCCTACATGTCGCCGTGTCGTTGTTCAGCAGCCTGCCATGCTTTGCCAACCTGGGGACTTACAATGGACTTGAATTAATGTCCTGCTCTGTGGTTTGGTAACATCAGGACTGTGCCATTTTATTTGTTGACCTTGGTTTTTTCAGCCTCAGCAGCCAGCAGCTGTCTGAGTGAAGAAATGCCTTCTAGCTCCAGTGGGCTGGGAGCAAGAGGTAGAACTGGACCCCGAAGTTGAGGGCTTTCACCCAGCCCCTATAGCCTGGCACTTTGAACTTGGACTTAAAGCCTCCAAACTGTAAGAGAATAAATTCCTGCTTGTTAAGGCCATCCCATTTGTGGTATATTCTTGTCAGAACGGCACTAGGGAACCAAAACAGTATGTATCACAAAAAGTTGTAAAGCTTAGATGAAATAAGGCATGTAAAATACTTTGCATAATGTCTAGTTACATTTTGTTGTTGTTATGTGCCATCGAGTCGGCCCTGACTCATAGCGACCCCTCCTTGGGTTTCCAAGGCAGTATCACTACGGAAGTAGGATTGCCCGACCTTCCTTCCGAGGAGTGGCTGGTGGGTTTGAACTGCCAGCCTTCTGGTTAGCTGTCAAGTGCTTTAGCCACTATGCTACCAGAGCTCCTAGTTACATTTTAGGTCCTCAATTAAGTTTAAGCTATTGCCATCTTTGCTCATGGTTTCTCTCCAGGACGTTAGTATGTACCATATACTATCCTTTGTACTGGAAAATAGAGGTACAGATCCTATCCCTTTAGTTGGGAGATAAACTTACACTTATGGGAGTTTATGGAAATAAACCCTAAACTATTAGTATTGAAGGATACAGTGGAAGCTCAGGTACTAAATTTGTAACAATCTAGAAAGTGATTAGGAGAAGTTGAGTTTAAAAGTAAGGAGACAAGGTGACACAATATGAAAATATTGTTGAACTCTCAGTGTAGAAGTTGTGCTGGCAGATGTTTTGGGATTTATATTTTCATCACAATAAAAAGAAAGATAAAGTGAGGAGACAAGGTAGGAAGCCGTTGCAACAATTTAAAGGAACATCTTGGATGCATGGAGTGTGAGTTGTAGCAACTTGACCATATTTCCAAGGGATCACGCCATTCTGTCTGCCTTCCCTGCTGCTTCTCCAGCCTTTTCCTGACAGCCAAAGAATGTGCACGCAGCAGTGGGCAGTGCTCTTGTTTCCCGTCACACTTTTGTACATGCTGTTCTCTCTGCCCACAAACTTACCTACTCTTTTTTCTCTTTCATTGTGGTGAAAGCATTCATAACAAAATATATGCCATGTCAACAATTTCCACGTGCACAATTCAGTAGCATTGACTACATTGCTCAAGTTGTGCGGCCATTCTCCCCGTCCTTTTCTAAAGTATTCCCTCACCAATAACAACATAAACTCAATGTCTCCTCGGCAAAAAACTTCCCCTTTCTCCTTTTCTCCTTCCCCGGGAAGTCACTAATAATCTTTGGTTTCTCTGTATTTGCTTAGTTCATAAAAGTGAGATAACACAACAGTTGTCCTTTTGGGACCACCCTTCAACATGATGTTTTCAGTGTTCATCTGTGTTGTGGCATCTGGACCTCATTTCTCTTTATGGCTGAGCAGTACTCCATTGTATATACCACGTTTTGTTTATCCATTTATCTGTTGATGGACTGTTTGGTGGTTTATACTTTTTTGTATTGTGAAAACTGCTGCAATGAACATTGGTGTACAGGTTTTTATTTGCATTCCTGCCTTCACTTCTGAGTATGTACCTAGGATTGGGGTTGCTGAGTCAAGTCTTCTTCACTTTTAGCAGGTAATGTGTCATCTACATATCACAGGTTGTTAATGAATCTTCCTCCAATCCTGATGCCACATTCTTCTTTGTGTGGTCTAACTTCTTGGATTATTTGCTCAGCATACAGCTGAGTAAGAACGGTGAAAGGATACAGCCTTGACCCACACTTTTCCTGATTTTAAACCATGCAGTATTTCCTTGTTTTGTTTGAATGACAGCCTCTTGATCTATGTATAGATTCCTCATGAGAACAATTCAGTGTTCTGGAATTCCCGTTCTTTGTACTGTTATCAATAATTTGTTTTGAGCCACAGAGTGGAATGTCTTTGCATAGTCAGTAAAACACAACTGAACATCTTTCTAGTATTCTTTTTTTTTTTTTTTATTGTGATTTGGGTGAAGATTTACAGAGCAAATTCACTTTCCATACAGCAGTTCACATATACTTTGTCTCATGTCATTGACCACAGTTTAC